AAATACGTCTCGCTTCCTTCTTCAGTTCCCTATAAGGATATAACTTCGTAAAATGCAGAAATATTTTCTCCAATAAATAGGGGCCGTGGAACATTTCGCATACGCTACGCTATACCTATAAACATATATACGTTGGAGTCGAACGCACACTCTATGCTTTACATCTATATGTGCATAAGTCCGCCAGAATACATATTTAAATCCCTTAGGAGCCATACTTTTAGCTTTATCGTACTTCAACTAATATATATTGATCGTCACTTTCTGTACTAAAAATCTTGTTCCATTATTAATATAAGGTGGATTAAGGTAACGATAGAATATTTAAATTAAAATTAGTCTACTATGGTACATTCCGTTTAGCTTCTTATTCGCTTAGCTGTTTTAGTATAGCTGCACTTTTCCGGTATAATGCTTATTGCAGAAGTAGTTTTGTTCATTATACGCGCACATGTATCGTTTAACAGCATCGAGGGATCAATAAAATGATTTAATCTTTCCATGTCAAAATGGTCTAAAGACTATAAGGATTCAAAAAAAACACAGTTTTAAATATCCGAGTGGCCTAATATTTGAATACATATTTATCGCCCTTTTACAAACACATTTATATATGCTTTACTCTAAACACCTCCCATATATATGTCTGCATACTAAATTTCAGGTTGTGACTTATGATTACCAATTTATGGCTGGTTAAAAGTTCCACGCCTATGGGAAGTGACACGCCCCTTTTAGAAACCCATTTATATATATCTATTTATAAGGGCCTACCGTACTATACCTGCATACCAAATTTCAATCTCGTGTGGCTTATGGTTCCGAAGTTATAGCTGATAAAAAATTCCACTCCTGTGGGATGTGCAACGCCCCCTTTTACAAACTCATTTATTTATAGCGTACTATAAGCATCTACCGATAAAAAAATTTCACGCCTATGGGAGGCAGTCGAATCCCAATTTTTTTCTCCTTATTATAGGCCCAGGTGTCATGGCAATACTCTGTCAAAATTTCTTTCGATTCTGTCTGTTCGTTTGGGCTGCAACCGGGCACATACATACATACATACTTCCACAAATATATAGTATATATCTATACTTCTCTTAGCGTAAAATAATTTTTGGGGATATCTCGGCCACAGGGAAAACCTATCGCGTTAGTTTTAAGTCCAAATATTTCTGTTCAATTGGATAAATTGTATTCTAAATATGAGCCAAATCGGCAAGTAGATGCAATTTTTAGGAATATCCTGACCCCAGCGCCACCTAGCGAGTGTAGTTTTGGTCAGAATATTTATTTTCTAGGTGCTGACACATGTTCCAAATATCAACCAAATCGGGCCAGCGGTTTAGTAGTTCAGTGACATTTAATGTACAGAAAACTCTATGAAATTGTGAAATCGTGACGTCTCAGCATTCGTAATTTTTCGGCAACAACAACAAAAAATTTAATTTTTTTTATCGAAAAACCTTCCACACAGAAGGTTCAAAAAAGGACTTTTTACAGAATTGAAATCGGTTCAGCCGTTTGGTCAGGCATCGCCGTCATACGGAAAACATTTCATTTTTATATATATAGACTAGCAGACCCAGCGAACTTCGTCCCGCCCAAAATTAGATTTTTAATTTAAACATTTTGGTCCAACAGTTTCTCCAACAATCCACATTTACGATTTGTACTGGTGGTCGTTTGCCGCCTTAAATAACCGAATGAAAGTGTTATGTCCATGAGAAGTTCCCTGGTGGCAACAATGATCCGGATCTATAGTGAATGTGCCCTAGAAACTTTATCTTATAGTTGGAGGCAATTTCAAAATGATTGCGTATCCTTGTTCAACAGAAATACAATATACATACATAAACTGAGATCAAATTCCTTTAACGCCAGTTTTGCGAAAGCAATTTAAATGAAAAATTTTTTCTGTCAGGTTCTATATTAAATTCAATTAAAAAAATAAATTTTGATTAAATTGCTTTCATTAAACTGGCTTTTAAGGTATTTCGACAGGTGGTGATTTGATATTTACCACTGCACAACTCAACCCTGGTTCTTCGAATGAAGCTTTAACGCATAATAATATTGGCAAATCACATCCATTGGGCCAATCGTAACACACGAGAGTGCGATATACTCAAAGGTGCAACAGGTCGATTTAGTCTTGCATTTGC